TTTCATTACAACCTCTTTTATAACATTTGTTGTTGAGCTTTTGCTTGTGTTCTTTTTTTTTTAAATATTAACATGTTTTACTTAAACTTGAATTTTTTTCAAGTAGCACATGTACATTAAATAAGATCTTGAGTTTTTTTTTTTTTTTTTAAAGAACGGATATCTGTAAACCCACCATCTTATGCCCAGCCATTGTAAAAATATTTTGGTGCATTTTCTTCCAGGCTATTTTTTAAAGACAGATTTTTTAGGGCCGGGGATTTAGCTCAGTGTTTCTGCCACCTGCCTCGCAAGCGCAAAATCCTGAGTATGATCCCCGGTACCAAAAAAAAATACAGATTTTTAAAAAGCAATAGGGTTGTAGGCATATTGTGTATATAACTTTACCCTGATTGACTCATATAAGCATTTTTCTTATAGTCACTGTTCTTTGTAAATATTTTAGATGACTGGCATTATTTTTAGATGTGACAGTTTACCTAATCACTATAATTGAATTATTTATAATTTTTGGTCTTTGAACAATACTATGATAAACATTTTGCTATAAAAGTAGAAGTAACCATTGTCTGTTAGCCAACTTGACTCCATCTCATAGTTTTTTTGTTGTTTTTTTTTTTTTTTTGGTACCGGGGATCAAACTCGGGTAGTTTATTTTTTATTTTGCTGCCTCCCACATTTTCTATATCCTCTAAGAAATCCCTGAAGTTGAGCTCTCCACATACCTGGAAAACATCAAAACCCCTTGGCCTTGAGCTCCCTTTTAAAATAACACTGTATATAAAAAGAAGTGCAGGGATGTTTCTGGGGAGTAGCATTTACATCTTGCACAAGATCCTGCCCGCAATAAGCTTAAATGCTCAGTACGCTTTATTGTAGTTAACTAAAAGAGCCTACTGAAACCCAATAAAACTAAGCAGGATACCAGATTAATCATCCTCCTGTAACACTGCAACATGAAACTATGGCCACTTCTCTGTCCTTAGTTCAATGCAATAGAAACTTTAAACTCAGAATCCTGGAATGTTTGATCTCACGTTTGTGTGTGTGTGTGTGTGTGTGTGTGTGTGTGTGTTTCTGGTTCAGGATTAAAGAGCTCCACTGAACTAGGGTCCCCAGTGAATAAAGATATTGGCTACAATAAATGTAGAAAGATACATTTATCCAGAAAGTCTTATTTGCATTTCTGCCATTAGACACAACAGCCATAATCTCAGGAAGGATTTGAAGGACCATAAATCCACCAAAATAGATGCCACAAGTGAATGATCCAGCATCACACATTGTACTTAAAATAGGGAGAACAAAGTGAAGTGCTACTCTACCTGATAACAACGCTTTCGGGAGGGCTACATTGGGAAGGTTTTGAAGGGCTTCCCATCTTTGCTAGAAAGATTCAAGCCTGATATGACCATGGAACAAGAAAAGGATATCTGGCCACCTGCCACGTTCAAGTCCATTAACTTCCTCACTAAAATGTCTTGCTTGATTCTTCTAGTTCAGGCTCAAAATTTTTTACCAGGCTTTATGAGGAAGAATGTGAATAATAAAAGGTAGCTTAACCCAAGTCCATTCCACTTATCAAAACTGACCAACCTGTTAAATTTGTACTTGGATTAGTATGGTCTACCTATAGTCCAGAATTAGACACTACCTCTGTGATGAATGACGCTCAATAATTTTTCTGTCTTCCATTGCTAACACCACTGTTACAGTGAGCACAAGAAATTGTCCTTCGTTGTGTCCTTTATTTTGTCATTCCATTTTTCTTTAATGTCTGTATTCTTAAAGTGTAAAGACTGATTCCTAAATCAATTTTAAATCCACACTGAAAAAGAGCTTTTTGATGTCAGAGCTTTATATGGCTTCATGAAAAGGCTGAGATGAGATATAATAAATCAAACATTCCATAGTAGTGTATTCTGACTTTTTTGCTTAATAGTATTTGGGATTTTTAACAACTTGTATTTTTTTACTGAACTTAAATAGCACATTTCATAGTCCCATATATTTTCCTCTCTGTTTTCTCTGTGGATTAGCTGAAGTCAGTTTAAAAACTGTTTGGAATCACTGGGAATGATGCTCTTATTTATACACTAAAAGGAAAGGAATTATAAAATGTGTATAATAAAGATGGCATAATCTTAAGAATTAAGTGTCAGGTTGAATAAATTATATACATGATTTCTAATCTTAGTCAGGGCCTATGAAGTAAATATTTTTGCCCCATTTTAAAGATGAGGACATTGAGCATGTAAAACGTAGACATTTCCCAAGGACTCTACAGCTAACATGTGGCACAGCCAATATCTGCGCTGAGCTTTGTTTAATACTAACCCCGGTGTTTTTCCCAATTGCCTTCTGTGAAAGGTGGAAAACTTTAAATGGTAAATGTTGGGAGAAAGCTTTTTATTAACGTGTAAGTTTGGGAACAAAAGAAATTATCAACATACCAAACCATCCTTAAAAATTGACTAATTTAAGGAATGAGAAAAGTCTGTCTACAGATCCATAGACTGAAATTATGTGGCTCATCCCCATGTTATAAATGTGGGGACCCTGAGGCTCAGGGATACCGTGATGTAGCCAAGGATACTCAGCTAACCATCCACAGATCTGAGACCAGAACCCCATTTCCTTTTAACAGCCAAAACTATGAACGTTTTTAAAAACATTTTTCTTGGAATTTAGTTTAAATTGTATATTTTTTAAACTTGTAAAGTTTAGAATCAATTCCACCCAAAGTGGCCTTATTATTTTATGATCTTGGCGATTAAAAGCATTGTCGTAGCTGTCAGCAGTGTTCACTTAGAGACACTGCCTCCCTGGTCCCATAGTTATGTGAGAGTATAAACAGAGTGAGGTCTCCTGTTAAGATCTACTCTTAGAGAGGGTGAGGGCTGGACAAAGGCCAGCACTGGAGGGTCAAACCTGGTATGCGTCAAGATCCAGAGGACCAAACCAGACACCAAGTACTGACAAGCAAGTTGGTTTGGCTAAGGTTAAGAATTAAAGGTTTTTTAAAGCAGTCGTACTCTAGAAGTACTACATGCAGAGATTAAAAAATGAAGTTACATAATCATTTCAGAATACATACATGCTAAGAGAAGTTCAGTATAAAAAGGTATGAAGAAGCCTTAAACCAAGTATAAAAATCATTAGCACTGCAGGAACCAAATGGTCCCAAGTGACTCCTGGCAGAGGAAGCTGTCATGGCGAGTGGCTGCTTTGAGACTGGCCCATTCCATTCCCCAGGAAGCTGAAATGGCTCTTGCCAACAGTCTGGGTCCCAGTTAGGTGGACTGTGTAAGTGCCCAAACCTGTTGATTCCTGAAGGTTCTGGTCTTTCAGTGTCGGCCACACACATCCCTGCTTAAGTGCTAAGCAGTGAGTGGCTGAAGGTGTGGGCTTCACAGCTCCCATCTGACTCTTCCACCTGAGTCATCTATTTACATCTTCCCGTGGCACAGAGCATGATGAATACCATTCATCAACCTAATGGACTCAAATGGAATTCTTTGAAATCCCCCAGGATGTGCCTTGGTCTAAGAGAAAGAGAATGGTTAACTGCACTTCTTAAACTAGGAACGTATGTCTTCCCATAAGTTGACTTTGTGAGGTTATTTGTGGATCACAGGAAGGAAATGGCCTTCTAAAGCCCCTGTGCCTCTTAACCATCCCCCTCAGTGACCAGCTGATATCCTTTGGAGGTTCTGTGAGCCGCCAGGCCAAAGCCTGAAAGGATAGGATCGCGGCAGACTCACCTAGCAGAAGTGGCTACTGCCTCATCTCTTGTGTGTGGGACTGTGCGTCATGGCTCTTTCCTTCTGCCCTCTCCTCATTCACTCACTGTTTATTGCAACTCTGCTTCCTGCCAGTAAACTCAAGTGTTTGAGTATGCTCAAGTGTGTTTGTTGCCGACTGTTTATTCCAGTTGAATTTGCTATTATAATTGTGTAGCTTATTTGGCTATATATAAACCAAAGAAAGGAAAAGAAAGTGTTGTTTAAACAACAACAACATTCTCAACTTGAATTGAAAAATTGCTGGTACCTAACCGTCTACCCCAATCATATCACAACAAGTGGCTTATATAGACTCAAACTCCATTGACCATGTGGGGAGTTATATGTCTACCAATAATCACCCTTGCCAATATTGTCCCTGGAAAAACCATCCCACAGCTGTTTAGTCTGTGAATTGGGTTCTCTTTTCTCCTTAGAAATACCTAAGAACCTAGCATGTCTGATCCAGGGTATTCAAGGTCATCTGCCTTAAGAAAAGTACCTTCTGAGACTTCAAGGCATTCTAAGCTCTTGCATTGTTAACAGAGACACCATATTCAACCTTATGTTAGAGAAACTGTTGCCTTTGGAAATGAAGATGTCCATATACATACATTCTAATATAGTACATCTAATGTTATATTAGGTCACTTTCTAACCTATTGTAATATTAGATATTATTTTAAAGCTCCTCTGTAATGTACAAACACTTTAGGAACCTACTATACATACTTGATCATTTTTGTATGTATGGAATCATAAGGAAACTCCTTCCCACAGGGCTGACCATACTGGTTTGTGATTAAGTCAGAATTCATTAAGAATCAAGTCATACCTAATTCATACCACAAATATTTATTAAGTTCTAACTCTACACTTACCTGTTGGTAGCTGCTGGGGCCACCACAGAGCATGTGGGTAGACTGTTCTCATGATGTGTGATGCACCTGAAGCCTTTGAGCACTGAGAGGTACAGGGATGCCAGGTACTCAACCCAGAAACTGCTCTCTGAACCAGCATGCCAGATGTGCTCCTGGCCAGTAGAACTAGATGTTGAACAGCAAATAAGAAAGTTTTCTGGGCAAGTGCATGAATTTTCTACATCTGCTCGAGATTGCTCCATATAATTTAAGTATTAATCTTCCTTAAACTGTATGGCTTTCCACAAAGCACTGCAGAGACCACGAGGCATCTCACTGCTATTTTCTCTTCTAGGATATCAATGAGTGCATTCTTGAAAACTACCCTGAGTGTTCCAACCCCAGGTTATTTTACATCATTCCGTATTTTTGTGGACAGCATCCCAGATGCAGGTAAAGACTAACCCAGGCTCACAGCATGCTAACCTGCCAGACTGGCGCTCTGGGAAACTTCTGTATCATACTCTCTCAATCTTTTGGAACTCTACTTATACTTATTAGTAATCTTCAAATATGTCACTTGCAACTCCCAGTGTCTGATAGGTAATGAAATTTAAATTTAGATTTTTCCAGAGGCCTTGGGACCTCCAATACAGCTGTGTCATTGGAATGCCAACCAGACCCTTTCTTTATACCTAAAACATAGCTGTCATCTCTTAGACCATGAGATAGTGGAGGCCAGGGACAGGCACCCAGCCTGCTCCTCCATGAGGACTGTACAACAGTCACTGCCCTCTCATTGGGTCTAACACCTGGAAAGCCACACCCAGAGCCAAAAGTGTCTCTCTCAGGACAGACACACTTAGTAGAATAAAAGAAAACTGTTTTCTAGTGATCTCACAATGGCCTAGCTTGGATGCATTCCTTTCTTTAGAAAATGACTTCCTAAAACAGCCAGGGCCCTTAGGGTATAGGGTGCTCACATCCTGTAGAGCAGCACTGGGCTACTTGTAAAGAACTCCCAGATAATCACAGACTCTGAGGTAGGGCACAGATGCACCTAACCACCTCTCCAGGTGGTTCTAGAATAGCTAGAATTGGAATCCACTGTATTAGACACATGTCTGTAGGCTAGAGAAGAAATGGTAGAAAGAATAAGTTATTATCTTTACTTGGTGGAACATAAAGGCTGTAATAGAAGTGACATTTTCCCCCAAAGGAAACACTGTTTAGACAGTCATTGTGTTCCTGAAGAGGCCAAGCTGGTTCTCAAGTGCAGCACATTTTATTTGCTTATGCTGCAATTTTGGCTTCATTATTAGGCATGTTGTTATTAGTGCTGTTTTGTTTTAGCTCACTGTAACACAAATCCTAGGGCTACCAGTGTCTGTCTTCTGCTTCATCATATACATCCTGAGTTCCAGCAGCCTCCCACCAATGTTTACCCAGATAATAAATACCTCCTGCTTCCTTGCTTCAGATACTGGGAAGATTTGGGGCCAGATGATTTACTTTCTAATCACAATGAAGATATTCATTTCAAGAAACATGGCTCTGATTCCCCGAACTTTTTCTAAATTATCTGTTTCCTGTTGTTGGGTTGAGTACTCATGGTACCTTATCTCAGTTCATGCATGATGATACTCAAAACTCTTTCAAATGTCACTTTGTTCAACCTTTACAATTCTTTGGGGGTAGGCAAGAGTTATTATCACCATTTTTCAAAAGAGAACCTTGGCTTGCCCAAATTCTCCCAAATGGTAAATGGCAGCCAGATCTGGAGCCCAGCTCCTGGGCTTTTCTCACTTACATGAATGCTGACTCAGAACTCTGCCCTGGCAGTAAGATTAGGCTGTGTCCTTTGAGTAATTTTGAAAAACTTATCTTTAACTCTTAAAGGAATATGATGATTAGAGGCATGAATTGACACTTACTTTGATTTCTGCAGAAACACTAAGTAATTTTCATAATTCAAAACCTATCATTTAATTGGTCCCCATCAGCATTTGTAAGGACCTAAATGCCTGGGTCTGTATTTATCTTTCAACAAATGCTTACACAGGCCTCACTCAGTTCAAGGCCCTGAGTGTTATACCCTGGAGAAAATGACCAAAGGAGAGCCCTAGCCAGATAGACCAGGGAAGGCTCTGGACCAGGCTCTAACAGGACTGGTCCCCAGAGGAAATCAGATTTGGACACGCACAGATGGAGGTGCAGAAGGGATCAACTTTCCATGTGTTATTGCTGCATTTCAAAAATGAATCATTCACTTAAAAATCATTTTTATCTCCATAAAGGGAGCCTGGTGAGTGGGCCCTTGAACGTGCAAAGCTGAACGTGAATGAAAACTTCCTGCTCGTGGGGATCCTCGAGGAGTTGGAAGATGTGCTGCTTTTACTGGAAAGATTTTTACCTCATTACTTCAAGGGTGTGCTCAGCATCTACAAGGACCCAGGTAACTCCATGCATGGGCAAGCTTTTTCCCCAGGGAGGTCTGTTTCAGGAGTTACTTGCCTTGAAAGGGAGTCTAGAAAAGGAGTGAAATAATCTCCTGTATTCATGAAGGGTGGTTCCCCTGGTTTGCAAAGAAAGGTGAGAACCACAAGATGTTGATTCTAAAACCTTGAACTTCAGGTCCAAACACAAGCTCACCATTTTCAAAGCCTTGATGGTTCCACTATCACCCATGGAAACTGTAACCAAAATATGTATGCTTGGGGGAATAAATGGATCTGCCTATGTGCACCTGTAGTCCACAGGTGGAAATGCGTGTGAACATGAAAGAGCCATCCTTGTGATGAAGAAGCTGTGGCCCAACTACTGTTTGACAGAAGAACTCCAGCATGCCAGATCTCAGCAATAGAATAGAGCAGCAAATTGAAAATACAATTAAGATTTGGTTTTAACAGACAGAGTGATCTCCAAATAGCAGGAAATAGAAGTTGGCAAACCAATTACAGGAGCAGCCAACAGTATCCTTGTAAATATAATTGCTTTCAGAAATCCATTGCTTATTTTTTTTCTCATTATTATTTTAGCTCAAGAGAAAGATAGACCACATTGTTTCTGTCTTCCCAATTCTCCTTAATCTATTACCACCACAGCAAGCCTTGTGTACTCATTCACTGATCTGTTTCTGGATTTGTCTTGTCCTGAGATGAGAGATGGTATTCTGCCTTGTAGAAATAACAAGCAAAGGAAAAGTTTCCAATGGCAGCAGACAGATACCTGCATCATTGACAGGGACCAAGGCCCAGGTAAACCAGAATTCACCTGGAGGGGCTCTAGATGGTGTTACATAGGGTGCCTCACCACCACCAATTTGCTGGAGAGAGCTGATAGCTGGTAGGGGCTCCCCTTGTTACTCTCCTAGCACTGGTTGGGAGGTCAAGTCTGATTTTCCTGTGTGTAGGAACAGGATAAGAAACCTCAAGGTATAGGTAGGTGTGTGTGTGTGTGTGTGTGTGTGTGTGTGTGTAAAATACAGATTTTGTGTGTAATATAGAGAATAAGATAAAGAGACGATTGAATCTTGGTGACACATAGTTACCAAATAAAACGAACACACTCTTTTCCCATCATTTGGGAAGAGGATCAGTGAGTCCACTCACATCACATAGCATCTCCTGTCCTGGATCTGGGGCTGATGCACTACCCAGGACAGAAGGTATAGACAGAATACTTAGGTGAAGACATTTGCATCTTTGTCCTTCGTAAATACTTATAAACCACCAAGAAAAAGCTCATCCCACAGGGCCCACTTACCCAGCTGTAGTCAGGGTATTTTCTGTTGACCTCCACTATTTTATCCACTTAAATATGGGACATCAGAAATTTTGAGCCATCACCCTGTGATCTGCAAAGAGTACTTAAAGTAGATAAGATTTCTGAAAATTGAATTACTAGTAGTTCTTTCGCCTTCAGCCAGAATCTTTCTACCTGTAAAGTACAGCTTTTTTTCCCCTTTTTTTTTTGGCATAGCAATGTGTTAGATACCTTGGAGAGAGAAAGGGACATCTGGTATTCCTATTCCTCTGTAGTAAGATGGAAAGCTTCCATTAGCCCCAGGCCAACAGTGCAGCTGTACCACTGGCTAAAACAGCGTGCTGCTTCCACATGGCCTTCAAGGAGCCTCTTGGCTGCCCTCATCTTTCTCTGTCCCAGCAATGAAGAAATGAAAGAAGCAACTCATGCAACAGAAGTGTTCTTCAGGCCTCTGCCCCATCCTGAATTCACTTCCTGAGTGGAAGTGGCAGTGGTTACATATTTTGAATATATCCTAGTATAAGTCAACTGCCCCAAGCATGTGCACAACAAAATAAACCTTGAACCTGCTATCTGTGATGCCTGCTGTGCTCTGTAATCTTTCAGGCATCTTCTTGAGATATTTTTCTACAGTAACAATTGAAGACAAATCAAACCCACATGTCTTCTGTCCTGAAGTGTTTCTGTGTTCCCTAAGCAGAGGACAGAAGTGAGCAGGTACTCCTGGACAGCTTCTCAGTAGCTTTAGCCCTGCAAAGAGGAAGCACTTGTCTGGTGAAATCAGCAAGTTGGAATGGAATAGGGTAAAGGTAGAGGAGTAGCTGCTGGACACTAGCTGTTTCACAGAAATGCCACCCTGTCTGTGCATTAAAGTTAAATTCACATAATTCACACTAAAATCATTACTCTTACCCTTTTTAAAAGAATTTTAAAGCTGAGGAGATAACTAAGTGGTAGAGTGCTTGCCTAGAATGTACAAGGCCCTGGGCTCAATCCCTAGCAATGAAAATAACAACAACAACAACAATTTTATAACTAAGTTTAGAACTCAGAAGAAAAACTAAAACATAAAATACTGACCATCAGAAAAAATAAATTAATGTGCAGTCTCTGGACTGACCTTTTTAATTTGGTATTTGTCCCGTTATTGAAAAAAAATTCAGGTATGTGTTGAATTTTAGTAATGTCTTTTTAGAAAAACTGAAAACATACATCAGTTTCATTGCTGATTTTTTTTTTAAAAAGTACCAATAGCAATGACTGGCACACTGGTGAAAATAGTAATGTCTGCTGGTCAAATGAGCTGTCACACATTTTAAATGGTATTCATTATTTCTTTTAAGCTAATACTACTTGTTCCAATAACTTGTCAGTTAGAGAAATTAATAAACGTCCTAAATAATAATAGCTTTACTATTTCCCCCTGTTGATTTTCTGTAGAAAGATATGCTGGCATCAAGTAAATTTATCTCCTTCCAAAAATATTTGAGAAACTTAGTTCTTAGCAATTTTTAAAAACTAGTCATTTCACATCAATATTTGAGCCAGGGATTTAGCTCAGTGGCACCATGCCTGCCTAGCAAGCACAGAGTCCTAAGTTCAATTCCTGGTACCAAAAAAAATTTTGAATTTTGTGAAGACCCAGCTAGTGCACCTCAGGAGTTTGTGATAGTAAATACTTAATATGAAATAAAAATTAAAATTTAGCATGATGGATAACCAAGAGAATAGGTTCAGGTGTTTCTTCCAGCCAGGGGGCAAGAATGTTGGAGTGACCACTCAGAAAACTTGGCCCATGTTTTGGCATGAGTTTGAATTAGAGAGAACCAAGGCCCAAATAGACTACTGGGGAAGAGCAACCCTAGTGATAAAAATTATACAGTCTCATTTTTTACTGATTAATCTCACTGCATTTGCTCATTGATTACCCCCTTTTAAAAATGAGATACTGAGCTGGGGATTTAGCTCAGTGGCACTGTGCCTGCCTCGCAAGCACAAGGTCCTGAGTTCGATGCCCTGGTACCAAAAAAAAAGAAAGAGAGAGAGAGAAACTAAAACCAGCCCAAAGAAGTTGACTGATCTGTAGTCATCTACCAAGAGGTAAAAGTAAGGAGACTCACATTTCTGAGCTGTGAATATTAATGCGTTTATGAATACTTACATCTTAAAAATTGGTATGCTGTGAGCTATCAAAACTTTTCTTAGTCATAATTTTGAAGCTAAAATTTCAGCAGTAGTAAAAGCCAAAATCCATAAATTACTTATAAGGAACATGTAGATATTTGTGATATGAACATTCCTTTTATAAACCCTTGATTTGGCCAAGAACCAAGCTGTTCTGGTTCAATAGCTCCACCTACTATATCTGTATAGACGTAGAATTATATGACCTAATACTAACCCATTCCCTTCTGTCTTCTTTAAGGATTTAAAAAACTCTAATGTCTGATCTTTTTACCTTGTATTTTAAATACTTTGCATTACTAGAATTACACATATTCATTTTCAGCTTGTTGCCATTGCTAATGTAAAACCTGGACCCAGAGAAGGGAATCCACTAGACATTTTGTGGGCTACCTTGAGGACATGTTAGCCAAATGTAACAAAGGAAAAATGTGTAACAAATTTCAAACAAATGACTTAAATACTAACTTTGTACATTTAAATTCATTTACAGAGTGAATGCTTTTTAAAAGTTTAATTTTATTTAAATGTTTTATAAACAATAATGATATAGCGCAAACTAAATAGTTTTTGTTTTTATTATGTACAAATGATAATTGGACCTCCCCCTAGAAGTATTCTGTGAGTTCATTTACAATGCAGTGTTCCAATCTGAGGACATTTTCTAGAAAACAATATCAAATATATGGAAAAAAAATTGTAAATAGTATACTATAGGAAAAATTCAAGTTTTCATCTATATATCAATAAAAATATCAGGCAGAGTTACAACAGATACTAAATGACAAATGGTTGGCTTTCTCATAATAAAGGACAGCCATTTTTCAGCTCAGTACCCAGAGCTGAGATTTAAGAGGCTTTGCATTTCGTTCTGTGCCATGGTTCCGCTCACAACCTGGGACAAATGCAGGTTTCCATGCATGATCTTTAAGGTCTGTATTATTATGACATGAAAGTATCATGAAGAATGTTTTAAAGCTGCTTGTTCTACCTTTAGTTAGGACAATTATGGAGTGCCTCCCCACTCCAAAAAAAAAAAAAATCCTGATTCGTCTCCAGAGCCGGTTTAGTGATGGGGGCTATCGCCACCTACAGGGCAGGCGGAAGTCTGCACAGGGTATATCTTTCACAAGTTCTTCTTAGGGCTGTTGATACGGAAGTGATGAAGACAAAAACCCAGAATCCCAACACTCTAGTCACGTCTTCCATCCCTTTCTCACATCCCTTATGCATTTCCGTTGAGAAAACAGTACACATGATAATTAGAGAACAGACTCTGGAGTAGATGACCTGGGTATTTGAGTCACTCTCCCACTTATTAATGGTGCAACTGAAGCCAAGTACTCCCTTTCCAAGCCTCTGTTACCCAACTGCATAAGACGCATAAATATTATCCACTTCAAAGGGTTGTTGTAAGACTTGACCGACCAGACTCATGCAGAGTTCTTGGCTCAGCCTTAACATGAGAAGAGCACTCAGAAATGAAATATTGGCCTGCCCACTACA